GATGTGAGCATCTGAAGATCAAGGACTGAGTCTTATTCTTTGTTCAGTAGTGCAAGCTCAGGAAAGAGACTACATGAATTTCTAATTCCGACTCACCCATTTACCGTCTGTGTGACCTCAGACAAGTTATTTCACCAGTCTTAGCCTCCCATTCCTCATGCGTAGGTCAGAGGAGAATAACAGAAAGTATCATGCGGGAGGTGTCAAGGCCCAAGGACAAAACAAATGCAGCACCCATGGGTCGGGGAGAGGGCGGCCACATGCTAGGACCTTCGGCCACCGGATGCGTAGGCTGGACGCCCACCCGAGACCCCACGGCCGCAGCAACCGGGGTTCTCACCTCGCACCGCGCCCCAGCTCCCTCTGGTGGTACCGCAGTCCCCACCGCACCGCCCCCGCGGCCCGTATCCCCGCCTCCATGACGTCACTGCGGCCGGGGCGGGGTTCCCAGCATAAAATGAGGAGCAGAGGCGCGGCCCCCGGTCCCTGCGCTGCTGAGCCCGCCGGTCTGCCCCGCGCACGCAGCTCCCAGGGCCAGCGCCTCCACCTGCTCCGTAGCCGGCACCATGCGCGAGATCGTGCACATCCAGGCGGGCCAGTGCGGCAACCAGATCGGCGCTAAGGTGGGCGTACCGCGGGGCCGCGGGCTAGGTGGGGAACGGTGGGTGCAGGCTGGGGCCGGAAGCTTGTGGGGGCTGCGGAGGCTCCGGGCGGCCCAGGTGGTATGTTCTGAGCGAGGCCGCCGGGCGGGGTCCTGAAAGCTGCACAGCCTGCCACGATGCCCGCGGCGACTCCGCTGTGTGTCTTTAATGAAGGCCTTTTAAATTCCCTTCCGACGCAGCCTGTCTGCCAGACGCTCTGGCATTCCCTGGGTGTATTCGTCTCTGAAACTTAGATGGAGGCTACGGCCATATTTATCTGGTAGCTTCATCTGAAATTTAATTTGTATAGCTTTGCCTATCGTTCGAATCGTTTGAGTGAAAAAAATGCAGTGTCACCGGACTGACATGTTATAGAGGCTTCCTGCTGGGTCATACAGATAAGAGTGTTAGATAAATTCCCTCGTACCGGCCCCGTCTAGACGCGATGGCATATAACGCGATAGTCTTGCTTCCCGTCTGCGGGGTGGCAGGTGACTGCATTGGGCGGGGTCTGTAATTGCCACCACTGTGGGGAGGCAGCAGCAGGCAGGCTGCATGGGTGGGGGCGGGCGCCAGTGCAAGGACGTGGTCTCTTTCACAACCGCCATATTGCCCACCCAACCCCCCCACCCCCTTCCCTGCTGCAAGTCACAATGGAGTCTGCGTCCTCCCAGGCTCCTGCCTGCCCTACCTAACCATTCGCTGCTGTGGTCAGGGCCCACGGACCAATGTGTGGGTCAGTAACATAAACCTGCGCTGTTGGAGGGCCCGTGAGGACGGTGCCAGGATACGCTGATCCCTGGAGGCAGCCGAAGGGTGGGTCCACCTGTCCTCAGTCCTGTCAGGACCCATCAATCATCAGTGACATTCAGCTCTGCCTGAGGTGACAGGGCCTCCCCTTCCCCACTCCTCCACCCTCTCCACCCCACCCTTGCCCCTAGAAGGGAATCAGCTGTGCCCCCCTCCCCCTCCAGTGCCCCTCCCCGCCTTTCAGTCAGTCGCCATATTATGGCCCAGGCTCTGCGGATTTCCAAGCTCCTCTGCTGCTGCTGCAGCTGCAGGAAATAGGGGCTTGCAGCTCTTTGGTCTCTGCCCAGGACTCATTCACTGACCACAATGGCCACTGTTCCAAGGACACGGGAGGAAGACAGGGCCATCCTCAGTGACATGTAGGATAGCATGCCATGATATGATTCTTTTTGTTTCAGTTTTGGGAGGTCATCAGTGATGAGCATGGGATCGACCCCACAGGCAGTTACCACGGAGACAGTGACTTGCAGCTGGAGAGAATCAACGTGTACTACAATGAGGCTGCTGGTGAGAGGTTGGATGTGTTTGCCCAGGCACTCTTGCCTTCCATACTGTGGCAGATGATGCCCTAGGAACAAGCAAGTGATAAGGACATGCTTCTTGCTTACTCTCTTAAATGTCAACTGCTAGAAAAAGACCCTATCTAGTTCCTTAAGACTCCTGCCTGTTTGACATGGCTCTGCATGCTCAGTACCTCCTTTTTCTTAAAAGCAGAACAGCACCCTGTTCTCCTCCTTTTGTCTCAGAAGCTGGAATTTTCTCTCATGAATGCTGTTATGAGAGCTGCATAGAGCACAGCTCTGCCTATGAGGACTTTGCCAACCACAGCTCTAAGTCAGTTCTTGCTCCCCACAGGTAACAAATACGTTCCTCGGGCCATCCTGGTGGACCTGGAACCAGGCACGATGGACTCAGTCAGGTCCGGACCATTCGGCCAGATCTTCAGGCCAGACAACTTTGTGTTCGGTATGTAGTCATGACCAACAGGAAGTGGGAACTGGTCACATGACTCACCTTTTTCCTCATAGTTGTACAAAACACAGGTCTTAGCGTTGAGTACCATGTTGAGACTGTGGCCACAGGTGCCTCTTTCCCCCATTCATAATACCACCCAACCCTGGATGGTCATGGTTCCGGTCACTCTCCACGTCTCAGATTAGTGTCAGCCTGGGGAGGGCTACTGCATCCCACCCAGGACATATCAGCCTCTGGCAGAAAGAAGAGAGCCAGGAAATGTGGCAAGTGGGGCTTACAAGGTTGCAGACTCTGTTGAGAACTCTGGGCCTTCATCTTTGCCTGGTTCATTGCTCCTAATTTTAATATTTACAGAATGGCTATGCTTAAAACGTATGTATTTAAAACCAACTAAGTTTATTAACTCTATCCTCTTCTTCAATAATCTGTTGTGAATTAAACTTGCTTTTTACTTTATTATGAGCTTCAGTGTTTTTGAGGGTCACTGATAGACAAATATTTCTTTCAGTTAAAGAAGGGAGTTTAACAGAAAAGCAGCTGCCACTTCTCCTTAATAGTCTAAATGACAGAATTTGAAATCCTTATGTTTTAGTGTCTAATATTCCCCTTCCCTCTGGCAGGCCAGAGTGGAGCCGGAAATAACTGGGCAAAGGGTCACTACACAGAGGGAGCCGAACTGGTAGACTCGGTCCTGGATGTGGTGAGGAAGGAGTCAGAAAGCTGTGACTGTCTCCAGGGCTTCCAGCTGACCCACTCACTGGGCGGGGGCACGGGCTCCGGGATGGGCACCCTGCTCATCAGCAAGATCCGGGAGGAGTACCCAGACCGCATCATGAACACCTTCAGCGTGATGCCCTCACCCAAGGTGTCTGACACTGTGGTGGAGCCCTACAATGCCACCCTCTCTGTCCACCAGCTGGTGGAGAACACAGATGAGACCTACTCCATCGACAACGAGGCCCTGTACGACATCTGCTTCCGCACCCTGAAGCTCACCACCCCCACATACGGTGACCTCAACCACCTGGTATCGGCCACCATGAGCGGGGTGACCACCTGCCTGCGCTTCCCGGGCCAGCTGAACGCAGACCTGCGCAAGCTGGCCGTGAACATGGTGCCCTTCCCGCGCCTGCACTTCTTCATGCCTGGCTTCGCACCCCTGACCAGCCGCGGCAGCCAGCAGTACCGGGCCCTGACGGTGCCCGAGCTCACCCAGCAGATGTTCGACTCCAAGAACATGATGGCCGCCTGCGACCCCCGCCACGGCCGCTACCTGACGGTGGCTGCCATCTTCCGGGGCCGCATGTCCATGAAGGAGGTGGACGAGCAGATGCTCAACGTGCAGAACAAGAACAGCAGCTACTTCGTGGAATGGATCCCCAACAACGTGAAGACGGCCGTGTGCGACATCCCGCCCCGTGGCCTGAAGATGTCGGCCACCTTCATCGGCAACAGCACGGCCATCCAGGAGCTGTTCAAGCGCATCTCGGAGCAGTTCACGGCCATGTTCCGGCGCAAGGCCTTCCTGCACTGGTACACGGGCGAGGGCATGGATGAGATGGAGTTCACCGAGGCCGAGAGCAACATGAACGACCTGGTGTCTGAATACCAGCAGTACCAGGATGCCACCGCCGACGAACAGGGGGAGTTTGAGGAGGAGGAGGGTGAGGACGAGGCTTAAGAACTTTCAGATTACTTGTGCATCTTTAGTGAACTTCTGTTGTCCTCAAGCATGGTCTTTCTATTTGTATACTATGGTGCTCAGTTTTGTCTCTGTCAGAAATTCACTACTGATATAATGTGGAACTTATCTAAAAATTATAGTATTGTCTCTGAAGATATCTATCCTAATTAAAAATTAAAAAGCATGTGTATAAAACCTTGTGGTCTCTATTCTCACCTCAGATAATTTTTATTCTTTCACTAAATGCTTCTTAAGAATAAAGTTTCAAGGTTTTAGTAGCAATATAGGATTTCTGCTTTAGTGCTAAAGCAGTCCTTTTAGGAGAGATGAAAATACATACTTTTTTTCATCTTCAGTGACCAGAATTATTAGTCTCTCAAAAGTGATGCAGAAGTGAAGGATTACTTAGGATAAAACAAACCTTTCCCTATTTGCTGTTGTTCTTGATACCCTAGTAAGCTGTAAAACCAGAGCGTTCTTCCGTTTCTCTAACTGTCTTTGAACAATGTGATAAATGCAAGTAACCAGTGAAGCTTGAGTTTCTTAGCTAAAAGGTACAGTAGAAATGTAAGATGTCCTAAACAGCAGACATCAACACTGCAAATGTTCCATGTAAAATATTATTTGAAAGTACAATATAGCGGGATTTTATTTTTTAAGACAATGGTAGAAATTCACAACTTAATGTTAAGGCAGATTTAATTTTTGTAACTATTGAAGCTAGAGTCTGTTTTCGCTATGTCATTATTCTACTTTGATTATGATCAAATTGTAGGGAGGAGCAGGAAGCCTGGGAAGGTAGGGTGAGCAGAGGTGTGACATCAGTTGGGGAGTTTCAAAGGCATCATGGAAACAGGCAGCAACATGATCAAGCCCCAGGCCGAGGAATAACCAAGATTCAAGTGTTCACAGGGAGATTTTCATTGTAGGAAGTCTTCTGCTAACCTGTTGAATTCATTTGCAAAACGCAAATGCAGGTTGTGTTTGCCTTCTGGCATCAGATGCAACCTAAAAAAAAAAAAAGAAAAAAAAGCTTTTGTTCAATGGCACACTATTTAAAAACAAAATCCTTTGCCCTCCCTAATTATTTCATGAACATCTAAAGTGAGCCGGGGTCGGTGGCTCAGCCTGAAATCCTGCGCTTTGGAAGGCTGAGGTGAATGGATTGCCTGAGCCCATGGGTTCGAGACCCGCCTGGGCAATTTGGTGAGACCTCATCTCTACAATAAATCAAAAACTTAGCCGGGTGTGGTAGCGCACACCTGTAGTTCCAGCTACTTGGAAGGCTGAGGCAGAAGGATCGCCAGAGCCCAATGGCTCGAGACTGCGGTGTGTCCATGGCTACTACTCAGGGGAAAAAGAAAATGTAATGATATCAACTTTCCATGAATATAGACATGAGAGTGAAACCTCTTGGAGTTTATGACAAACCTGGAGGTTGACTGCAATGCAGTCACTTAACAGCAGTGACACTGTATTTGGAATCAAATCAAGTAACATGGGTTTGACTGGCAAACTGACCGTGAGAAAGGGGATTTGGTGGCTACTTTTAAAAAATCAAATTTAATGAAGTTGACTTTATCTCCTTTTTTGAGACAGGGTCTCACTCTGTCACCCAGACTGGAGTGCAATGGTGCAATCATAGCTATGTAATATCAAATTCCTGGGTCCAAGTCATCCTCCTTCCTCAGACTCCCTAGCAGCTGGGACCATAGGTATCGCACCACCATGCCTGGCTAATTTTTTTATTTTTTGTTAAGACTGGGTCTGTATTGCTCAGGCTGGTTTCAAACTGCTGGCCACAAGTGATCCTCCCACTTCAACCTCCCACAGTGCTGGGATTATAGGTGTGAGCCACCACACCTGACCAATAATATTGATTTTAAGAGAAACGAAAAGATGATGGAAATAAAAAATGTCCTGAATTCACTGGGTTGGGGCAGGTGAGTTTCTTGGGGCACCTATGTAGCAGAAAAGTGCAAATTAGAATTCATAGCCACTACCAGCCTGCTACCCATGGTTCCATATCACCCTTCCATTTTTGGATCACTGAACAAATGAATCCAAATACGAGCCACCAGACAAGCGGCTGTGAGGAGATGAGCCAGTGTCAGCAGCCCTGTGCTCTGGGAGCTGTCCTGCAGCTGTAATGGCTCGGCACAGTGGCAAACTTGCTGTCCTTGTAAGGCTTTCAATAGGATTTTGATCCAATGGGACTGGTCTGTAATTTCTTTAATAAAAACAGCCTTCTCTCAGTTTTACAACTTATTCATTAGCTACAAATGTGCAGAAATAGAAGAGTTAAAGCTAAGATGAAAGCATAAGTTGGAGTCATTTTGTCTACAATGACAATTGGACATTAAAAGGACAACAGGACAAAATTCCAGTGACCATGCTGCCTAATCCTCTGACTTTCAACACTGAGCGGGGGAGGAGGCTGCTGAGAGCTCAGAACCTTAGTGGGTGCTAGGCACTTGTGGGACAGGAAACTGTCCTTGAAAGATTTGGGGCCTCTTACAACCCAGCCTCTTATCAACCCTGCAGATAATCAACTTGAAAGGAAGATACATTGTTGGTATCTTTCCGAAGACCCTGGAAAGTTAATGATGCTATTAATAATTTTCATGCTATTCAGAAAAGAAGGATGAGTTGTACCCACCCCAAAGGTAGGATCCCAGACTTCCTACACAAGGAACAGGATGCAGGGATGACCAAGGCCTCCATTTTCAGGAGACAGAAAAGATTCAACTGCCAAGGATGCTGAGAGGTCATAGAAGGGAAAGTCGAGGTTACATTGCACCCTCTAATCTACACTAAACTGGATTGAGAGGCAGGGAAGTCCCAGCCTGCCAAACCTAAAGTCCTTCTCTGGCTACAGTTTGCTGGTTCCTGACAGAAGGAGATGCCAGCTGTGAGTCCCCTCTTTCTAGCTGGTCAGTGCTGTCTGCATTCGTCTGTGGTAATCTCTAGGTCTTAGGCTCCCTTCATTAATACATTGGAGACCAGCTCTGGACTCTGGACGGATGGGAGGACGGACAGACAGTTGAAAGTATGAAAGGTATTTCCTTGATACCTTTTAAAGGTCACTTCAGGGTCCTCAGGACCCCTTCCTCCTTTAAGTTTGACATCGAATTCACTAAACTTAAAACCTCTTGTATTTTTCTTTGGGAACAAGACCACATTAGACAGACATAAACATCAGCTGTCAAGTCAAGGCAGGAACTCTGCTGCTGACCTAGATTCTCACCCAAGAAACAAAAGGATCTAATCACATGCTCCATGGAGAGTGGTTTTCAAACAATCACATTCTCCAGGAAAATGAGTAGGAAACCCCCAACTGCTACACACATAGCTCAGCTGGGAATGAAGAGACCTCTGAGAGGGTAAAGACAAGTTCCTATTTGCAAGGGCAAGTTCCTCCTTGCAGCTGGCACCTTTAGAAAGGCCATGATTCCAGCTCTTTTGAGGAACCAGTGCTGTCTAATACTATGGTATAAACTCTAGGGTCACTTTAACTTTGCTGATATAGTCCTTCTAGGTCGAGGTAGCACAGGTGAGACAATGAGCTTTTGAATTAAATTCTGAGAGCTACAGATAGTAACAAATCATAAGCAATGTGCTGTTGCATGACTTCACTTTGGACTAATGTGATAAAACTCTAAATTATTTACGAACCCATAAAAATGTCAGTAAGTCTGTGAACATTTTTGTTATAATTAGAAACCAAGGTAGGCTGCTGACTTTTGTGCCAGGATCTTTTTCATTATGAAACTGGGCAGCAATGTGGCTCATCGTTTTTCAGCCATTCCTCCCTTGGCCACCAAAACCTGGTTGCCAACAACAGCCCCTTTTCATTCAGAAATAAAATGGTTTCCTTTTTAGTTCTGTTCTTTCTAGAAAGCCCCACCTAAGAAAAAGGTACTTGTGGGTGAGCCGCAAGCTCCTTGCAGCTGGTAAAGCTGGGGCAGGAGAGGCTCCTCAGCCCGTGCCCTGACCAGCAGGCTCTTCCTAGTCAGGGCCAGCCAGGCACTTGGGAATGGAGCGGAGACATCTCACTGAGAAGCTCCTTTTCTCCAATGCAATCACGTCCCAAGCACCAGAAAGATACAAAACCACCTCACAGGCTGCTTTTTTGGCAGTGTGACAGCTTGGAGTGGACTGCTTCTGGATACTCTGGGGTTGCCGGAGTGAGGCTTTTAAATGGTGTCAGAGGACAAAGCCTTTCCAAACCCATGAGACCATGGGGCCTAGTCGGGGCCCTCGGACTGCAGTGAAAGCTTTTCTTCTGTGGCTGCTGAACATAAACTGGAGGTGCCATCACACAATGGAGCACGCAGGCTTCATGCAGTCAGGGTTTACACTGGCAGGTTAAATCTTCTCCCTCACAATTCCTTCTCTGAAAATGGGGAGGGTAACAGAATCTACCCAAAATGATCATTCTGAGGATGAAATGAGACAGTGCACACAAGGGACACAGCACAGGGTCTGTGGGCATGTGGTAAGCTCTTTCAAAATGTCTGCTACTGTTTTATTATTCTATCTATATTGCACTTGATAATGGGCAGAAGTCTTTGAGAGGGCTCCAATTCTGTACCGCATAATAAAGAAATGCTCTGGCTCAGGGAAGCACAATTTATTTACATTTGTTGACTAACACAACACCTCCCATTGTAAGATTCTTCCCTTAGGAGAGGTTTTGCAAAATGTAAGGTTTGTTTAGAAAGGGTCAGACTCTACTCTTTGGACTAGACTTGGTAAGCGCTAGCAAATTCTGTCTGGAGCTAATCCTGTTTCCACTGCAGCAGCAAACAGGTGGAGAAGAGGAGCCACCAGCAGCACCGGGGGAACAGGGCTGGGATGTAAGCAGAGAACAGTTACCTGGAGTAGTGGGGGTGGGGAAGGCACACCCACTGCCACCAGGTAAAAATTAATCTAGAGCAGAAGCTGTGGCAGCCATTCTGTCCTGCTTGCAGTCCTGTCCTGCCTGCAGAGTCTACCTCCCCTCAGAAGCTGGCCTTTTCTACAGAGCTGAAAATGACCTTTGTCACTGGTGTGAATATTTTTCCCCTAGGCCAATTCATTTCATGCTAACCAGTAGTACAGCTCCCACAGGCCTGCCTCGGAGGACTGAGGCCATCTTACAAAGTGTGACCCAGCTTAACTAGTCAAAGAAGCTGCAGAAAGAGGCCCTGCCCTCTCTTCTGTGGTCTACACAGAGGACACTGGCTAGTCCTCAACCTAAACAGCCCAGTCCTACACCCTCGCTGTCAGCCTGCAGGCACACCCTCCAGTGAACCCAGCCCAAGGCCAAGACCTCTGTGAAGAGGAACACATATCTGTCAGCCTTTCCCCACTGTGATGGTTCATTTTATGTGGCTACTTGACAGGACTACAGAGTGCCCAGATATTTGGTCAAACATTATTTTCGGTGTGTCTGTGAGGGTGTTTCTGGATGAGAATAACACTTGAGTCGTTAGTCTGAGTAAAACAGATTGCCCTCCCCAGTGTGGGTGGGCCTCAGCTGCTCCACTGTGGGTCTGAATAGAATAAAAGGCTGAGTATGAGGGAATTCCTCCTGCTTGACAGTCTTCAACTTAGGACACTGGCTTCTTTCTGCCCTCAGAATCAAGTTGGAATATAGGCTCTTCCTGGGTCTCAAGCATGCTGGCTGTCAGACTGGAACTACACTGTCGCCTCTCCTGGTTCTCAGGCCTTTAGACTTAGGCTAGAACCATGCCTCCAGCTCTCCTGGGTCTCTACCTCGCCAACTCACCTGGCGGACCTTGTCAGCCTCCACAATAGCATGAGCCAACTCCTTATAATAAATCTATCTATCTATCTATCTACCTACCCATCTACCTACCTGCCTATCTACCTACCTACCTACCTACCTATCTACCTACATACATACCCTATTGATTATTTTTCTCTGGAAATCCCTAATACACCCACACACTTACAGTAATAATGGTGCTAAAAGTTGAGACAGAAGATAACTTGCCCCTGACCTAACTTCAAGCTATAACCGATATCTCCTAGGGGCCCTGTTCACCTATACCCACACCAGCATTCTACAAAAATGACAGCCACTGTGCACTGTGAGCTTCCACTAAGTCTTAAATGTACAAATACTTCCCCCAAAATAAATATATATATATGTGTATATATGTATACATATTTTGGGATGGTTTTGGGATGATTTTCCTCTCCATTTTGCAGCTGAGGAAACAGAGGTACAGAAATATGTGCAGCACACAGTTAGTGACAGAGCCAGCACTCAAGCCAGGTCTGTCAGAGTTGCCTGTTGGAGCTCTTAACCCCACTGCTATAAATGTTGCTCAGGATCCCAAAATATTAACCCTGATCTCCAGGCAAGACTGTTTTCCACTTCTCCACTTTAGCTGACACAAACTCAAGGTGCCAACTCTGGCACACAGGCTTTCGTTCTTGCTGAGTCTGACTCTCTGGCCTAGGCCCAGAATATGCAGCTGAACCTGTACTGGTGACCCTGGCCCATCCACAGAGACTCAGCCCTCTGTGTGGCTCTTGTTCTCACCTTCTTTCTCTTCCAATAAGCACTGAGCACTTTAAGGTGTTCTAGACCATATCATGAGATAGGTGTCAGAGTGTTCAATAGGCAGAAAAGTATATTCACAAGCTAGCAGTTGTTAAAAAGGTATGAATAAGGAGCCACGTGTCTTCAGAGAGATGAATGAGCAACTGGGGGAGGAGGTGGAGTTGTGGAAGTTTCACTGAGGAGGAGATATGAGAGTTGTGGCCTGAAGAGTGGGTACACTGGGGTCAGCAAAGGTAGGGGTGAGGGATGGAGAGGGATTCCAGGTAAGGGGCCTATCATTTGCAGCTGCATCTGAAACCCAGAACCTGACCTCTACTGGGCCTACAATTCCTGAGACCTGAGCACCTCCCTAGAGACACTGTAATGGGCTGAACTGTGTCCCCCACAAATTAATATGCTGAAAGCCTAACTCCCAATATTCACAGAGTGTGACCTAATTTGGATATAGAGGCTTTAAAGAGGTAATTAAGTTGAAATGAGATCATGAGTGGGTCCTAATGCATTATGACTGGTGTTCTTACAAGAAGAGATTTTAACACAGTTCAGAAGGAAGACCATGAGAGGACACAGGGAGAAGGTAGCCATTTGAAAGCTGAGGAGAGAGGCCACAGGAGAAATCAACTCTGCCCACACCCGGCTCCTGGACTCCAGAACTGTGAGAAAATAAATCTCTGTTGTCTGGGCCCCCCAGTCTGTGTTCGTTGTGATGGTGGCCCTAGCTAACTTATACACAGCCCAGCACACACATGGCTTGAACTGGCTGCTCAGTCTTGTCCTCTTCTGAGCTGGCTCAGCCCCTCTGTTTCCCAGGGCCTATCCACACCAACCCCACAGAGTGTGAGTGTTGCCAACCTCTGCCCAACACGAATTCTCTGAAAGCGAGCCAGGGCAATGCCACACCTGGTAACAGGAGATGCTCACGCAGAGGCTGGTTAAACAGGCAAGTGGGCAGTGATATCATTGCTTCTCAGCCTAAGAGGGAGGGCTGGGTGTGCAGGGAGCACGGGAGCTGAGGCCAGGGTGGGAGGACCGGAAGGGTGGGGCATGCTCCTCACTGCTGTAACCTAGAAACTCTAGCTTCCACATGGCAGACTTCTGCACAAGAATTAGGGGAAGGCATTCAACTGCCTAAAAACAAATTTTAAAACCACTGAACTTAAATGATCTCTAAGGTTCTTTGCTTCCAGAAGAGTCTACGATTCCTTTCCCACAAAGAGAGAAGAGAGAAAGAATAGGCAGTTGGCATTCATTTCACAAATGATATGTATTTCTTCATAAAAATCTGGGAAGGGATAGACTCTGCCTTTAAAATTTTAAATGTACCTGGCAAGGTAGTGAAATATCAAGTTCACTGGAAGCTCGCTACACTGGGTTGCTTCCTGTTGTCTGAGGGCCTGGTGCACAGAACAAAGGAGGGTTTTGGTACCCAGGGAATTCACCTTTCTTCTTTGGGGTCCAAAATAAACCAGTCATGTTCTAGGTAGGTTCATGTCCAACATACAGGTCTCTTACAGCAGAAGAAGGCAGTAGAAAATACAAGCCAGTTTTAGATGGTCATTGCTACTAACACTTTACCCTAAACCCATTTGCTCCAAAGAATACTGCTTTATGAAAATGATCTTCCATAAAACAGTCTACTGAAACAATTAATATATGCATGGTAAGGGTATATTTCTCTCCCATACTAATGTACTCTGTTGCTAGGAGATAGGCCTGGAACAGAATTCCTAAATTAAACTTTCTCACAGACTGACTTTTATTGAACCTAGATCTTTTCAGGCCACACACTGTATCTACTATGCATGTCAGTATGCAAAAACCTGTCACTTCTGATGCTAGAAGACAATCAACCAAGACACCTGGTGTATTATTCCAGAGATCTTACCCTCATATTAAGAGTATATTTATAATGGCAGCTATGCTTTGGTGGAAAGTACTATAAAAGGAGAAAATAATCTAGGGTTTATCATGTACTAGCTACACAACTTTGAAAGATTGCTTAACATCTCTCAGTCTTGATTTCTCTTCTGTAAAATGGATAATACTTTTCTCATAAATTTGTCATGAAATACAACCACAAAAACTGAGGTTGTATAGACAACTATTAGAAGGATTAGTATGAAAGTATATTTGAATTTTGTACCCTGACCAAGACTTAGCACTACAATTTTATAAAAGTCTAGTTTGAAAATATAATTTACTGGCTGGGTGCAGTGGCTCAAGTCTGTAATTTCAGTGGTTTGGGCAGCCAAGGTGAGAGGAATGCCTGAGTCCAGGGGTTCGAGACCAGCCTGGGTAACTTGGTAAGACCTTGTCTCTACAATAAATCAAAAAATCAGCTGGGCGTGGTAGCGTGTGCCTGTAGTTCCAGCTACTTGTAAGACTGAGCTGGAAGAATCCCCAGTAGATTGAGGTTGTGGTGGCCATGAGCATGCTACTGCACTACAGCCTGGGTGACAGAGTGGGACTCTGACTCAAAAAAAAAAAAAAAAAAAGAAAATATCATTTGTTGCCTACTGATCAACTTAGAAACTCCTCCACTAAATCTTTGTGTTCACTCACAATATAATCCTAATCTAACTCCTACCTTTATTCTTCACTTACTCTATGTTCTAGCCAAATGAATTGTTATACACACTCATGCATATTTTTTTGACTCATCGTTGAACTGGCATAGGAGGAAATGTGTGGAATAAAGAGATGCCTTTTAATCTTTAAAGAGTAAAGATTGGATATAGGAATGTGGATATGTTGATATAGGAATTATAAGAAACATTTCCCCCACTTAAAAATTCTCAGGAAAACCTGTGTTAAATATACCATAGAACAGAACAATTGGAAAGCAGTGGGACTGCATCTGCTCCGCTTCCCCTGCTGGACTGTGGACTCTGAGGACAGGGACCCTCCCACTAACCATGCTGAGCTGCAATGGCCCTCAGTGAGCATCAGGAAGTGGCTCCTGAGAAGCGCGCTTTCAGTCGACATTAGAGGCTACATCTTCCCATAAAATAAGTAAATTAGTATTTTTTTTAAATAATAAAAAGAAATTGGCTCCTGGAGGGAAAGGAAGAGGGAAGGAAGATTTCCTTAGGCCCCTAACAAATACAATTTCAAAAGATTCCATAAAATTCCACAAGTGCCCTGAGTAATTCAGAGATGTCTGAAATACACAGACTTTGAAGGGGCCAAGACTCCTTAGGATGTTTATTTCCTGACACGTTCGCAAACCAGGTCCTTTATTTCCCAGTTACCCCACATTCATCTCCAGGATATGAATCCACAGTATGTAAGAGACAATGGATTTATTCAACCCTGAATTTCCATCTTGATAAGGTACCAGCAAGAGCTGGCTCCTGTGTAAGCCAAATGACATAAAACATAAATTTCTACTTCATACAAAAGTTTATGGGATGAAATAACAGAATTTCTTGTAAGGTTCTCTGATGTCCAAGGTCAACTGACAGAAACAAGGATAAAAGAACAAGTGGTATGTATCTGCTCTTTGACAAGTGGGCCACCAGCATGGCTTAGTGCATGTTGGTATTTTGTGATGCTGAATCACAGGTTTGTCATTATGGTATGTCCATATTTAAAGCTGAAATAACTTATCAATGAAAGTTTACCACATAATCTTAAGATTATAAAACAAGCAGAATTCAGAGATGAATATAGAATATGGGTATATCTATATACAAAAATACTAATAATGATAGTATTTAAATGGGTGGCTGGCAATGGGCAGTTTGCTTTCTTCTTTTGGTTTTATAATTTTTTTATTGAGTAGTTAGTGCTTTTATAATGATAACTAAACAGAAAATTTTCAAATTATATGAAATTTTTTCAGTTAACAATGAGTGATATGAATCTAAACTGTCACCAATGTTACAGAACTTAGCACCTATTAGCACATTTGCCACTCACAACAAGAGACATTCATCTGAGAACTCCTTTCTTTCCAATGACCGGTAACCTGACAAAGTGGTGCTACTGACTGACACTGGCAAAATGGGGGTATGGGTATGTACTCTGAGACCCCAGATTCTCTTGCTTCTTTTCCTTCTTGTAGCTTTTCCCATTGAGTTCAAGGCTTCTGGGACAGGGAGAGATAAGGTGAGGCCCGACTTACCGTGATCCTTTCACATGCTCATGTATGAAGTCAGCATGGACTCGCAGGACCAGAGGATCTTTCTCACCATGCACAATCAAGGTGGGGCACTGGACCAGGGGCAGCAAGTGCCGGCAGATGTTACCTGGATGACAAACAGCACAAGGTATCTGCTTTAGTGCAATCATGCTACAAGGAGAGAAGCAGCAGAACTTGGTGCGCCATGCCTCTCTTTGGCCCTCAGTTCTCATCTACAATGGTTTGGATTTGACTGAACTTGGGGTTTCTTCCAAATCTAACATTCTTTGTGTTTCCTTTTCTATTTCTCTGCTCTTTCTTGTTTGTTTGCTCTACCAGTAAACAAGCAGCTTGATTTAAATTTGTAATCCATATAAAATAGTAGGAAACTTCACAATTTTATATTCCATAGTGGCAGTTCTAATGCACAAAACTGTAGTGTATGCTTGACAATAGAAAGGTTTTTCCCTGGAAATCGTGTCTCAGATGGCCGTAGGGGTCTGGCTAGCCCTCAAAGCTTATACGCCTCCCAAAGAACTTACAATGTACACATAGTAAAGCAGATTTTCTTATCCTTTTGCCTCTAAGACACTATACTTCTGAGATATTGTAAGAACTCAACCTCGCCGGGCTCGGTGGCCCAGCCTATAATCCCACGCCTTTGGGAGGCTGAGGTGAGTGGATTGCCTGAGTCCGCGGGTTCGAGACCTGCCTGGGCAGCAAGACCTCATCTCTGCAATAAATCAAAAAATCGGCCGGGCGTGGTAGCGCATGCCTGTAATTCCGGCTACTTGGAAGGCTGAGGCGGAAGGATCGCCAGAGCCCAGCAGGTCGAGGCTGCAGTGGCCATAAGCGGCCACTACACTCCAGTCTGGGCGACAGAGTGAGACTCCAACTCAAAAAAAAAAACCAAAAAACAGAACTTAACCTCATTTAGAACTATACTTCTGAGGCAATTATGTGCAACCTGGGTTCCAGTCCCTGTACTGCCATTTCCTGCCTCTGTAAACTATTTGGTGGTTCCTTAACTATTTTGCACTTTAGCCTCAATCAGGGGCAACCAGGGTTGTTCTGAGGCTGAAAAGAGAGCTATATCTAAGAGTCGTGGCTTCCATAAATCTAGCTCCCTCCTCCTGTGTCAACAAGAAAGCATCGCAGCTCTGAGAAGGCTGAGGGAATTCCTGGCAGAGCTGCCCTGTCCTACCTCTACCTCTACCTCTTCGTCAGTTGGGGTCACTGCCTGCTAAACGAGAAGGGGACCAGTTAACCAGGGAAATACTCCTCTGGGTCTCTGAAGCTTCTCTCTCCTGGCCAGCGATGACACATACCTGCCAACAGTATAATCAAACGATGATGATGACAGCCAGTATTTCTGAATGCTCACTTTGTGTTAGGAACAATTTCATACCTGTTAAACACTTAGAGTAGTTGTAGGTTTAACTCATCTAGCCTAAACAATCATTCATGCATTAAGTAATAGTAATAATAATAGTAATACCAACCTTTCATTAAGCACTTTCTCTGTCCTAGGCTCTGTACCAAAGCTAAATAGTCTCTCATTTAATCACCACAACAGCTTTTGAGGTAGGTTAGTACCTCCAGATCACAGACGGAAACTGAAGCTTCAAGAAGCTAAGTCATCTGCCCAAAACCATTCTAAGCAAGCCAGTGGCAAGGTCAGAACTCAAACCCAGGCCTGTCTGAATCCAAAGTCGTGCAATGAATCCCGAGGATAAACTGGGCATCCATAAACTTGAGGGTACAACTATTAAAAATAAGGGATCCTACAAAATTAATTAGCACAGAAGGGGGGTAAGTTATTAACAACATTACTGGAAGACAGGTTTTTTTTTTTTTTCTTTAAATAGAGACAGGACTTTGCTATGTTGCCCGGGCTGGTCTCAAACTCCTGGACTCAAATAATCCTGACACCTCGGCCTTCCAAAGTACTGGGATTACAGGCATGAGCCACTCTGGGATATGATTTATACACTGCTAGATCCTCTATATTATGATGTTGTTTTAAAATACTGACTTAAAAAAATAAAATAAAACACTGACTTAATTCTATTTCTGCCTTTGAATCTTCCTATCTTTTTACAACTGTTCTCTTCAATAAAGTATAAGAATTTACATGGTTTTTTTTTTGAGTTGGAGTCTCATTCTGTCACCCAGAATGGAGTGCAGTGGCCACTCCCGGTCACCACAGCCTCAACCTGCTGGGCTCTGGAGATCCTTCCGCCTCAGCCTTCGGAGTAGCCGGAATTACAGGTGCGCGCTACCACGCCCGGTTAATATTTTTGATTTATTGTAGAGATGAGGTCTCGCCTGCCCAGGCGGGTCTCGAACCCATGGCCTCAGGCAATCCACTCACCTCAGCCTCCCAAAGGCGCGAGATTACAGGCTGAGGCACCAAGCCCCAGCTTAGAATTTACATTTACAAATCATTTGATTATACAGTTGGCAGGTGTGTGTCATCGCTGACCAGAAGAGGGATGCTTCAGAGACCTGCAGAAGTATTTCCCTGGTCAACTGGCTCCCTTCTTGTTTAGCAGGCAGCAACCCCAAATGAAGAAGAGGTAGGGGCCTGGGGCCCAGGTAGGGCAGAGCAGCTCTGCCAAGACTGCCCTCAGTCTTCTCAGAGCTGCAGTGTTTTCTTACACAGGAGGAGGGAGCTAGCTTTATGGAAGCCAGGACTCTTAGATATGGCTCTCTTTTCAGCCTCTTTAATGGAGAACTGACTCAAACATTGTTTTATGTCATCTTTTAAGAATGGAAAGAAACATATTTCTAGGACCTGGTTCTATGGGTAGATAATGCATTTGAACAGGATCAATATGCTGTTTTCAATTCAACCTAGAACAGTAACATTTCCAAATGTCTTTTTCATTGTGCAGGTTTTGGCAGTAGACTCATGCAAGAAATGATTACCTAACAGATCAACTTGGTCCTCTAATCAGAACCATTTTGCAACAATGTACTCCAAGATTAGATCTCAGCTACTCTATTTTTTTGGCAATTACTTAAAAAAACAAAAGTGAGATTATAAACATAAATTGCTGTATAAAAATAAATTTTAATTCAGAATTTCTCATAGAGATGTCAAGCCTTACTGTTAATGGAAATCTCATCATCACTGTTAATGGAAATTTTTCAAACAAAGAATAGGAGATATTTGTTTATAGCTAAGGTCATATAACAGTTCTGAAGATGGGAAAAGAACTGAGTATTTTTCTTCCTCGTTCTAATTCTACTGGAGTTGAAGATTAAGACAGAAACTTCCTCCTTTTTTGTCCAGTAACAGTGTCCTAATGGTGATATGTCTAAATATGTAAAAAGGAAAAAATATTGTACATATTGTGGCTTGTCTTCTAATTACCCATTCTGGAATTTGAAAATAGAAACTGTTCAAGGCCTCTGGAGAATTATTTTGTCATCACACACAAAGGAAAAAAGAAGAATCTGCTATTAAAGACTCAACAACATGAATATTTAGACATTCAGTCCTGTCTCTGGGGTAAGGCAGATTTATTGTACAAGAGCACGCACTGTATAAAATACCTAGTTTTCTCTGTTCACACATGAGTGTGTAAGGACAATGAACAGATTCATGAAACACTGAGGAATTCTGGAACATCAGGGAAGGAACTCAAGCACCCTCTCTGAAAGGCAGAGGAACCCTTCAAGTCCACATAACCTACCATCTGGTAGACGTTTAAACTGTGTTATGCCATCCACCCACTTTTCACAGGTTCTGGCAAAGTAGTCATACCCATATAGGGCTTCTAGAGGCTTTTTCGTTTTCTCACTCCATTTGGAAACATCTCGGATGCCTGAAAAACAGAAGTGTAGGAAAGGTTAGATTTAGCCTCACACTAAAGTATTAGGCCACCTCAGAGCCCTTATGCTCACTGTCCCATCTGCCTGGAATGCTTCCCTGCTGCCCTGTGCCTCTCCTCCCTCTGCTCTGCTTGGCACTTACCATGCTCTGCAAAGTCTTCTGCCACCACGGCTTCCCCCAGGATGTGCACCCAGCATGAGGACTTCACTTGCTCCCAACTCTATCTCAGAGCCTGACCAGCATGAGGACTTCACTTGCTCCCCACTCTATCTCAGAGCCTGACCAGGGCCTCCCGCAAAATAGGCCCACAATAAATACTTACTAAGGAGTGAAATTAGGGCTGTACTTAATGCTCTCTGTTAAAAGTATAAGATGAAAGAAAATATTCCTCTATAAGAGGGTCACCTGAGTAAGAGTGATAGTATTTACCAAAGAGGAGTTTTTTCTGATTTACACTTTATGTACATTGAGAAACATAACAATTACTCATTCTAATTTCTGCTACCAAAGAAATATGGGTATAAAAGACCAGTTACTAATTTCAAACTATATTATAGATGATTCACTAGTAGGAAAGAAATAATAGCAAAAAACAACCTTTAAAATGAATCACCAGGCCAGGTGCGGTGGCTTAGCCTGTAATCCCAGCACCCTGGGAGGCCAAGGTGAGAGGATTGCCTGAGCCCGGGGGTTCCAGACCAGCCTGGACAACTTGGTGAGACCTTGTCTCTACAATGAATCACAAAAACTTAGCAGGGCGTGGTGGTGTGCGTCTGTAGTTCCAGCTACTTGGAAGGCTGAGGCAGAAAGATCGCCTGAGCCCAACAGGTCGAGGCTGCGGTGGCCGTGAGTATGCCACTGCACTCCTCCCGTCTGAGAGACAAGAATGAGACTGCAACTCAAAAAAATGAAAAAATAAAAAAAAAAATGTATCACCAAACTCAATTATTTAGGCCAATTTTTCCATATTTCTTTAGACACATTATGATCATTTAAAAATCCTAATGCTCTTGATCATATTAAATATTGCTTGGTGAGAGCATTGAAGACAGGACACCTGGAAGGTAATGCGACATGGAGGTGAACTCATTATAGGGATCCAGACAGTGCCAGGCAGGCACTTGACATGTACTTTGTGAACAGAAATAACCAACTGGAAAAAAAACTGCTATTTGCAACTCCCAATGCCTTACGAGGAGGGCAGATCTCCTGTGAGGACAGTGCCTGCCTCACTTCTGCGGACTGCCCTACATACTCAGAGGTAGGACCCACTGCGTTGAACACAGCAGCCGAGGCCTGCCGGACTGCTCTGCACACAGGGAAAAGACTTCAATGGGGGTGTTGGAAAGCAGCTGAAAATTAAGAGGTGGGAAGGAGATTTAGTAGGAAGAAAAAGGAAAGCTGGGGTGGTGGGGGGTGGGGGAGAGAGAAGCTAGCGAGACAGTGTGAAGATGCCTGGTAAAAAATTTCTTGTAGATGTTTCTACTTTTGACTGGACCCTCTGAAAGGCCTTCTTGCAGAAGAATTAGATTTTTAACAAAATAGAATTTTTTAACATTGTCAAAAGTGCAGTAATTAATGAAAACTAGGGTATGAGTATGTGTGAATGTGTCTGTATATGAGAAAGAGAACCTTGAAAACAGAGAAAAGGAAGTAAGCAGACTCCAGAGGCCGGGCTGCTCAGGATGGAGATGCAGCCACCAGCAGGGAGAGTGGGGAGCAAAGAGGGTGAACCTGAGATCCTGGATTAAGCGGAGCTAAACATGGCCCTAACCTGGGATGATCCTCGGGATCCCAAGTGCAGAAAATCTAAATCTTCTCTAAAAGAAAGCATTCTCAATTTATGCTGTCTTGTTTTCAGATTAAGAGTAAGTAAATATTACTTGCAAACTATGCATCCAACAAAAGATTAATATCCAGACTCCATAAAGAACTCAAACAAATTGTCAAGAAAAAACCAAATAACCCCATTAAAAAGTGGGTAAAGGACACGAACAGACACTTCTCAAAGGAAGACATACAATCGGGCAACAAACAAATGAGAAAATTTTCAACATCACTAATTGTCAGAGAAATGCAAATCAAAATCACAATGATATACCATCTCACACCAGTCAGAAAGGCTACTACTAAAAAGTCCAAAAACAACAGATGTTGGCAAGATTGCAGAGAAAAAGGCCCGTTTGTACACTGTTGGTGAGAATGTACACTAGTTCAGCCTCTGTGGAAAGCAGTTTGGAGATTTCTCAAGGAACTAAAAGTAGATTTACCATTAGACCCAGCAATGGGTCAAATACACCCAAAGGAGTATAAATCACTCTACCAAAAACACACCTGCACTCGTATGTTTATTGCAGCCCTATCCACAACAGCAAAAACATGGAACTAACCTAGGTGGCCATCGATGGAGGTCAGGATAAAGAAAATGTGATATATGAATACTATGCAGCCATTTAAAAAAATATGCCTTTTGCAAGCAGCATGAATACAGCTGGAGACCATTATTCTAAATAAATTATTACAGAAACAGAAAACTAAATACAAATGTTCTCCCTTCTAAGTAGGAGCTAAACACTAGAGACACATGGGCATAAGGATGGACAGGCACAGCAAATACTGGGAGATCCTAAAGGGGAGAGGGTACAAGAGGGGTAAGGGATACAAAAACTTACCCCTTGGGGTACCATGCTTACCACCTGGGTGATGAGCTCAAGAGAAGCCTAAACTTCACCATCACATAACACAAGGTCTGACAATTAAGTTCACAAACTCAACCTTAAAAAAGTGCTACAAACCTTACTACTGAATATCACTATGGTCACCTTCAAAGTAATCCCTTTGGGAAGCTATGCACTAAGCCAGCACCTAGTCCACCTGTCAAAGCAATTTTGGAACTCTTTTTCTGGAACGGCATAAAAGTTGTCATCATAATACCCTTAATGTCCTGAATGTCCTTAGAATTATTCTCTTTATCTTTGGGTAAAGCAAAAAGTTATTGGGGGCCAGATCAGGTGAATAGGGAGAGTGTTCCAATAAGTTATTTGTTTACTAGCTAAAAACTCCCTCACAGACAGTACTGTGTAAGCTGATGCATTGTGATACAAGAGCTCCTTCGGGATCATTTTTGCACCTACCTTTCTAATGTCAAGATTTTCCTAACTGTTTCTCTATTGATGTTTATATGATCTGCTATGCTTTTTCACAGCCAATGATATTGACACTCAATTTGATGAATTTTTGCAATTTTTTTTATCAGTTCTGCTTGTTACTGGCTGTCCTGACCTCTCTTCACTTTCTCTCCCTTCAGAAAAACATTTAATCTATTTGTACAGTCATTTTCTTAATGGCATTATCCCCATAAATTTAAACTAGCATGTCCCTGATTTTACTTCCACTCTTGTCAAGTTTAACAAGAAATTTAATGTTTGTTTGTTGCTCTAAGTCAAGCTCTGACATTCTTGTGACAGACAGCACACAAAAATATGCAACAACAATAATGAATGCCTCTCAGTAAGACACTGCCACACATCAACACGAACACAGCTGTGAGACATTGATATACCAAAATTACGAAACCTTAATAAGTTGTTTGTACAGTGCTGCCAACATAGGTGCATGGTGACAAGTTCACAGACTCAATCGTTACACCTTGTATACCTATGTAACAAACCTGCACATGTGCCCCTTGAATCGAAAAAAAAAAAAAGAATGAAAACGTATAAAGGAGTAAGCAAACATTAATTTTTAACTTCTACCCAAAGATCACAACACAAATAGAATTTTTATAAAGCTAATGAAAAAACTGGAAAATCAGAAATCTTAAGAAACAGAACATAGCACTGAGAGACAAGAAAATTAACAAGAGCTAGAAAGATAGAAAGCTGAGGTCTACAAGTCTACTCAGTCCCAGAAGAAGGAGAGAATCAGAAGAGAAGAGGAGATTCAATATTTGAAGAAACAATAGATAAGAGTGTTTTTCAGAACTGATCAAAGAATCCATGAATAAAAATCAAATGTATTACAAATAGGACAAGCAAAATGAAATCCACACTTAGACAGAAATATAGTAAAACAGCCACATATTAAAGGAAAAGAGAAAATCTGAAGACACAGCCAGACAGATAAGACCTATCACACAAAATGTAGATAAACAGAAAACTTCTCAACAGCAACTAGATAAGACAGAAGACTGTAGAATAAGAGATAAAATAATTGTCTACTTAGATTTCCATATTCAGTCAAGCAAACTTTCAAGAATGAAGGTGAAACGGACACTATTAGGTAAACACTGAGTTCACTGTCATCAGACTGACTTCAAAGAACTTCTAAAAATAACTTTGAGAAGGAGAGAAATACTTTTAGAAGGATCACCTGAGAGGAAAAAACAGGTGAATAAAAAACTGGCAAAAGACATGTTGGTGAATCTAAACACAAACAAATAAACAAAACCCACGAAGACAACGAGAAAATAAAACATTGTGACATCTTCTTACATTAACATAAGTTTGCCCATAAGGAAGCAAAAAGACAAACCACATGCTATGAAAATATATATGCAACACAGCTATACTTCAAGAGGTTATTAATTAGACTATGTTTTTAAAAACTGCCCATCAATAATATTGTAATAATATTGGAACCGTTCTAGTGTTGAGTTAGATGGAGAGTTTATTTTGTTGTTATACTTCATATTGCATGTCTGTTAGACATATTGCATATTCTATGTACCAAATAGTATATTTAAAAAATTTAAAAACCAGTAAAAAGACATGAAAGATACAATACAGAAGAAAACCAAATGGTAAACACATAAAAAGATTCTCAACCTTATTGGTAATAGGAAAATGAAAATTAAGACCACAATTAGATAAAATTTATACTCATTTGATTAGCTAGTGAACTAAGAAGTCTGAAAGTTTCAACTTTTTGTTAAGAACATAAGTTAAGAAATTCCATATATTATTGGTGGGAGAAAACAATTCGACAGCTGGG